CTCTTCTCCCAGGCAACCAGCAGTAGGACAAGAGGGCATAGACTCTGCCAGGGGAGGTTTAGGTTGGATATTAGGAAGAGATTTTTTACAGAGAGAGTAGTCAGGCATTGGAATGGGCTGCCTGGGGAGGTGGTGCATTCACCATCCCTGGAGGTTTTCAGTACGAGACTGGATGTGGCACTTAGTGCCATGGTCTAGTAATGACGGTAGGATTGGATTTTATTATCTTTGAGGTCTCTTCCAACCTGGTTGATTCTATGGTTCTGTATTTGCTCTGGCAATAATGACTCTGTACAGCTGAATAGTCATTCTATGCCAAAAAGAGTTAAATTACTGTTTCGCCCATTTCACAGAATATTCTGATTTGGAAGCCACCTACTAGGACACAAGACAGCTCCAACAATCCCACCATGTGCCTGAGAGCATTTTCCAAAGCCTTCTTGAACTCTGGCAGGCTTGGTGCTGTGGCCACTTCCCTGGGAAGCCTGTTCCAGTGCCCAACCACCTCTGGGTGAAGAATCTTTTTTTCGTGTCTAACCTAAACCTCCCCTGAGACAGCTTCATGCCTTTCCTTCAGGTCCTACCACTGGTCACCAGAAAGATCAGTGCCTGCCCCTCCACTTCCCCTCATAAGGAAGTTGTAGACAACACTGAGGTCTCCCCTCAATCTCCTCTTCTCCGGTGGCTTCCCCTCAAGGCACTTCCCCATCTTTGCTGCCTCCTTTCTATGCTCTCTAATAGCTTTATATCTTTCTTGCATTGTGGTGCTTTGCCTGATGTCCCCCAGGACATCACTGGCCCTCCTGGCTGCCAGGGCACACTGCTCACTCATTCAACTTGCCATCATTCAGGACCATCAGGTCCCTTTCCGTGGCACTACTTTCCAGCCTCTCATTCCCAAGTCTGTACATACATCCAGCATTGCCCCATCCCAGGTGCAGAATCCGGCACTTGCCCTTGTTAAACATCATATGGTTGGTGATTGCCCAGCCCTCTCATTTGTCTAGGTCTCTCTGCAGGGCCTCTTTGCCGTAAAGGGAGTCAATAGCTCCCCCCAATTTTGTACTGTCAGCAAACTTACTTAGTATCCCTTCAAGACCTGAATCCAAGTCATTTATGAAGATGTTGAAGAGCACTGGGCCTAAGATGGAGCCCCGCGTAACCCCACTAGTGACTGGCCGCCAGCCTGATCCAATCCCATTCACCATAACCCTTTGCACCCGACCTGTGAGCCGGTTGCTCACTCATTGCATAGTATGTGAATAAAGTAAAAATGAAGAAAAGAGGTGAAGAAGAACAAAAATTAGCATTTATAAAGGAAAGTATAATTAAGGAAAGAGGGAGGGAACAGAGCAATACCTTGAACTGTGAAAGCAACTCGTCTCCTACAGTGAGTGGGCCTGGTTCATTTTCTCGAGTTTCAGCCCTCTTCAGGATTTCATCTATATCCATTTCCTGAAAGAGAAGTTTCTCTTTACAATGAAACAATTCATACGTTTCTCTGTCCATCAAGTGTAGATGCACTCTTCCATTTACCTGAGGCTCCTCTTCTTCCCCTTCAGGTTCTTTAAAAAGTTCCTCAGCACCAAACTTCAAAATCGCTGATAATTCTTCCGTATTAAAGGGTGCTGAGCTGAAATACAGAGTTTCAGATAAACACTTTATCTTAGTGAATTGTTTCAAATTACTATAGCCATGAGTCAAACTTCCTTTTGTCTTAAATAAAAACTATATTTAATATGTAAAAAAAAATTTACAAAGACAATATACTTTGCAGTCTTCACTTACATAACTCCTTATTGCATAATTTTTGACTTTTATTAACCAAGTGAAATGGCTTGCGTTTTTACTCAAATAGTCAGGTATACTTAAGCATAAGGAAATATGAAAGAATAAACAAATATACCTGGAGGGAGTAGAACCTGTATGTAGTACAGTTTTCCCTGTAGTATCCATTCTCTGAATTACTAAGTGATCTAACACCATCTTTTTCTTGGCTCTTTCAAGAATATCTTCTTCTACTGATCCTTTTGTGACTAGTCGATAAATATTAACCTATGTGTATTTAAATAGAGTAAGCAACAGCAAGGAGAAATCTTAGTCTTCAGTATATATTTTCTGAATTGATTAAGGGGTTTCAAACATGAAAGGAGAAATGTTAGCTGTGATTACAAATCTAAATCTTATTGAACTAGTATTGTGTATATGAAACCAGTCAATCATGTTATCACAGTCTCTACAGAAATTATTTAAAAAAGTAAAAGAAAAATTCTTAGACCTCTCCTCTTTAAACTTCTGTGATTAGGCACAAGCATGGCCACAAGGAAACGTGTTATATCTGATTACTACTTGAAGTCTTCTGCAAGAAAGCAACCCGAAGAGAACTACAAAATGTTAAATGAAATAAAATGGACCCACCCTAAGTACAGTTGCTTTCTAGAATGACATGATGCCAATGAACATGGGACAAGTCCACAACTCTTCTCCTTACCCATCCATATACTACAGCTGCCATGAAATCTCTAAGGCGATTTTTTTAAATTTAAAAGGCAAAATAGGACTATTAAAATTTTTAGACATTTTTGGCAAGTATTAGTAATTCTCAAAATACACACAGACTGCCATGGCACAGACAGACAGCTTATGGCTAGCTAACATAATGAAACCCTCCTTCAGGTTTGGAGCTTAAAAGACAAGTGTATGTACCTGTTTCTTCTGTCCAATCCTATGAGCTCTAGCCTGTGCTTGCAGATCATTCTGTGGATTCCAATCAGAATCAAATATAACTACAGTGTCAGCAGATGCCAGGTTTATACCTAATCCTCCAGCTCTGGTAGACAGCAAAAAGCAGAAGTCCTGAAATTATAAAATAAGAAATAGTTTTATATATATATATTAGCTATAATATCCCTCAAGGAATCAATATGACACTTTTTTAAATGTAATCTCTCATCACCTCCCATGGGCAGGACTGATGCACAGCCAATTCCTAAGCAAAAATTGCCTAACCTCCCTAAACCCCTTCCTCTCCTTTTTTATTGCTGAGCATGATGTTATACAGCATGGAATATCTCTTTAGTTAGTTCAGGTCATCTGCCTGGTTTTGTCCCCTCCCAACCTCTTGTGTACCACCCAATCTATTCACTGGAGGGGCAGAGTGAGAAACAGAGATGGCCTCGACACTATGCAAACACTGTTCAGCAACAGCTAACACACTGGTGTGTTATTAGAATTGTTTTCATCACAAATCTAAAATATAGCACCATACAAGCTGCTATGAAGACAATTAACTCCAGTCCAGCCAGACCTTGTATAAAGCAAACTGATATCAACTTCTCTTGTGAACAGTTATCAGTTTCTCTGTGGTTTAAAGGAAGCAGCATCCTAGAAGATGAACGAAAGCCACTTGGGGAGGAATAAAACCAAGCAAAGCACTGGCCAAAAATAAAAATACCCTTTTAAAAGCCTCATGTGTGCCCAAGTCCCTCTGTCACCTCATTATTCATCTCATTTAAACATTGTTTATGAATATGTTGAAGAGCACTGACCCCAGCAGAACACTTTAGTTTCCTTTACAAAAAAAACGCTGTTTGCAGATGGTACGGAGTTATTAAGGGACAACTACAAGGGCCTAAAGAACGATTTTATGAGAAAGGCAATAAAAAAAGCATATGAAAGCAAAGTGAAATAGGAAATCAATTTGAGGTTTAAGTACAGACAAAGGTAATAGAAGCCATTGCTGTTCAGGAATGAGTCCTTGAAGTTGTGCATGAAATTTATTATTAGGAAAGAAATAGAGAATAAAATGGGTAACAATTTGATTGGCGCACAACTCCATAGTTTGCCTTCATTCTTGAATACCACGTAAAATTTGGATCCCTCTCCATCTTAAAAACTGTACAGTACAACTACAAGGATTCCAGAAAAAGGCAATTATGTCTGTAGTAGAAATTTAAAACAGAAATAACTTCTGTATTTAACAAATCTCTCAAGTTTATATTATGAAATTAAGTCCTTCCTCCTCAACCATAGCAGAAGCATAAGCTCAGCAGCAACTGATAAATGCTACGTTCTATTACTGAAAAACTCCCTCAGTAGACAACAAAAGACCTAAGACTATCAAAGGTATGGAATGGCTTCCATAGTAGGAAACCTAAATAATCTAGGAATCTTAAGTGGTACACAAACAATGACTAGAAATCTGTTCTTCAGTTTCTTCCAGGGCAAGGAAATAAGAGACAAGAAATGAAGATAACAGAAGCCAGATTTAAAGCTATTCAAGATAGTTTTTCCTTTATGTATGGATATACACAAGTCAATTCTGTCCATTACCTAAGTAGGTTTTTGATGTTAAAAGCTTGCGTTAAAGTTCAGTGATTCTGTAAAAATTGAAGGATTAAGTCCTACATAACAAAATTAATTCAATTTTTCAGTTTCTAAACAGCACTTAAAATTACTTTGATAAAGAGCACTGATAAAAATCTAAAAATATAACTATGTAGTTATATTAGTTATTGTTAGGGTTTGGTAGGAGCT